TTTTTTTTTTTTTTTTTTTTTTACAGTTTTTCAGATTTTCCCTTCTAACTCGTACAAACGTCGAGGACGCGAAAAGCGGAAGTGGCGTTGCAGTTTAGCGTCGACCGGTACAGAGAATTAACTGGGCCCCACGGTCGACGTTTTTTGGTCAATAGGGTTCCTATATGTAACCCGATGTATTTTTAAAACAATGCAAAGAGGGAGCAAACTGAGCCTAAAGCTACTTATACCGATGCTGAGAAGGATTAGCCGATACTCAAATAATTTCTTGTTTCGAAGGGGCTCTATTTTTCTTTTTTTTTTCTTTTGGTTTGGTTTTCTGTCCCTCCTGAAGTTGATTCTGACTATAGGGAGCTTATATCCAAAGCATGACGACTTCAGAGAAACGAGTAAACGTTGCAATTTTGTCGACCACACAAAGCCACTGCACACTAATGGCTGATAGTGTGCAATGTCTCAGTCAATCAGATTGCAGCATTTGCATTAGTGTGCAAGTAGAATTCTACTAATTGTTTAATAGAAATCTCGAGCTCATAATCTACTTGTTCATTAGATTATGAGCTCGAGATTTCTATCGCGTGATACGCCCTCGTCAACTATCACGCATAGAAACAGGAAATCGAGAGTGAATAATCTGATTGTTTTAGTATAAATCTACCAGTCGTTCAAAACTTTAACTAAATCCTCTTCACAGACAATTCGAAAACGACGAGAGGCGGCTCCAAGCGGCACTGCTACGCTACTAACTATCTACAACGGAATAGATAGTGAGTAGCGTAGCCAATCAGAGAACGGCATTCGTGATAGAACACAGWAGATTTATACTAAAACTCGATTGAAACACCGTACATGTTTTCTTACAAGATAGTACATTTATTTGCCGTCCTCTCCAAATCAACAATTGGAAATAGCGAAATTCTTCTTTGTCTGGAGAACGTGAGCGACGACGGCTAATTATTTTAAATTTCTTCTTCAAATTAATCACTGTGTCGCTGATTTAGTTTTGTGATGCTGTTGTTTTGTGATTTTTTTGACAGTGATAAACAAATTAAATGACTTAAAAGTATCGCGAGATTCGTAGGTAAAAATTAAATTCATTTTTTAATCGACGTTGTCCTCTGCGTCGCCATTGTGGTTGCTTCAACTCCCCAACAACGTGAAGTTCTGCGTAGTCTGAGGAACGCGAAAGACTACGGCTAATTTTCCGTACTTACATTTGGAATTGAACGCTGTCACTGCATATTAAGACTGAGCACTTTTTCAGAGCCATTGGCGTACTGAAGAGATCTAGACAATCGCGAATTTTGCTGGAAAAATATTAATTCATTTGTGACTAGGCGTCGGTCTTGGCGCCGCCGTTGTCGTTGTTTACTAGGGAGCGTGGTATTGTCTCATCTTTTTAAACTCGTGGATACGCGAAGCGTA